ACGCTGATTCCGAAAATCATGGTCTCTAGGGTGGAAATATTGACCATTCTCGAGATAGAACCCTCTAAAGTTCTTACCATCCATGACCGGGCCATCCCGATTTGGCTGAAAATTGGCTCACAGAGCCTTCTCAGCACGCTGATTCCGAAAATCATGGTTTCTAGGGGGAAATATTGACCGTTCTCGAGATAGAACCCTCTAAAGTTCTTACCACCCATTACCGGGCCATCCCGATTTGGCTGAAAATTGGCTCACAGAGCCTTCTCAGCACGGTGATTCCGTAAATCATGGTCTCAAGGGTGGAAATATTGACCGTTCTCGAGATAGAACCCTCTAAAGTTCTTACCATCCATGACCGGGCCATCCCGATTTGGCTGAAAATTGGCTCACAGAGCCTTCTCAGCACGCTGATTCCGAAAATCATGGTCTCTAGGGTGGAAATATTGACCATTCTCGAGATAGAACCCTCTAAAGTTCTTACCATCCATGACCGGGCCATCCCGATTTAGCTGAAAATTGGCTCACAGAGCCTTCTCAGCACGCTGATTCCGAAAATCATGGTCTCTAGGGTGGAAATATTGACCGTTCTCGAGATAGAACCCTCTAAAGTTCTTACCACCCATTACCGGGCCATCCCGATTTGGCTGAAAATTGGCTCACAGAGCCTTCTCAGCACGGTGATTCCGTAAATCATGGTCTCAAGGGTGGAAATATTGACCGTTCTCGAGATAGAACGCCTCTAAAGTTCTTATCACCCATGACCGGGCCATCCCGATTTGGCTGAAAATTGGCTCACAGAGCCTTCTCAGCACGCTGATTCCGAAAATCATGATCTCTAGGGTGGAAATGTTGACCGTTCTCGAGATAGAACCCTCGCAGCGAGTCCAGCAGCGAGAAACGGGCCATCCCGATTTAGCTGAAATTTGGCTCACAGAGCCTTATCAGCACGCTGATTCCGAAAATCATGGTCTCTAGGGTGGAAATGTTGACCGTTCTCGAGATAGAACCCTCTAAAGTTCTTACCACCCATGACCGGGTCATCCTGATTTGGCTGAAAGTTGGCTCACAGAGCCTTCTCAGCACGCTGATTCCGAAAATCATGGTCTCTTGGGTGGAAATATTGACCGTTCTCGAGATAGAACCCTCGCAGCGAGTCCAGCAGCGAGAAACGGGCCATCCCGATTTAGCTGAAATTTGGCTCACAGAGCCTTCTCAGCACGCTGATTCCGAAAATCATGGTCTCTAGGGTGGAAATCTTGACCGTTCTCGAGATAGAACCCTCTAAAGTTCTTACCACCCATGACCGGGCCATCCCGATTTGGCTGAAAATTGGCTCACAGAGCCTTCTCAGCACGCTGATTCCGAAAATCATGGTCTCAATGGTGGAAATATTGACCGTTCTCGAGATAGAACCCTCTAAAGTTCTTACCAACCATGACCGGGCCATCCCGATTTGGCTGAAAATTGGCTCACAGAGCCTTTTTAGCACGCTGATTCCGAAAATCATGGTCTCTAGGGTGGAAATATTGACCGTTCTCGAGATAGAACCCTCTAAAGTTCTTACCATCCATGACCGGGCCATCCCGATTTGGCTGAAAATTGGCTCACAGAGCCTTCTCAGCACGCTGATTCCGAAAATCATGGTCTCTAGGGTGGAAGTATTGCCCGTTCTCGAGATAGAACCCTATAAAGTTCACCACCCATGACCGGGCCATCCCGATTTGGCTGAAAATTGGCTCACAGAGCCTTCTCAGCACGCTGATTCCGAAAATCATGGTCTCTAGGGTGGAAATATTGACCGTTCAGCCAAATCGGGATGGCCCGGTCATGGATGGTAAGAACTTTAGATGGTGCTATCTCAAGAACGGTCAATATTTCCAACCTACAGACCATGATTTTCGGAATCAGCGTGCTGAGAAGGCTCTGTGAGCCAATTTTCAGCCAAATCGGGATGGCCCGGTCATGGGTGGTAAGAAATTTAGAGGGTTCTATCTCGAGAACGGTCAATATTTCCACCCTTGAGACCATGATTTTCGGAATCAGCGTGCTGAGAAGGCTCTGTGAGCCAATTTTTAGCCAAATCGGGATGGCCCGGTCATGGGTGGTAAGAACTTTAGAGGGTTCTATCTCGAGAACGGTCAATATTTCCACCCTTGAGACCATGATTTTCGGAATCAGCGTGCTGAGAAGGCTCTGTGAGCCAATTTTCAGCCAAATCGGGATGGCCCGGTCATTGGTGGTAAGAACTTTAGAGGGTTCTATCTCGAGAACGGTCAATATTTCCACCCTTGAGACCATGATTTTCGGAATCACCGTGCTGAGAAGGCTCTGTGAGCTAATTTTCAGCCAAATCGGGATGGCCCGGTCATGGGTGGTAAGAAATTTAGAGGATTCTATCTCGAGAACGGTCAATATTTCCACCCTAGAGACCATGATTTTCGGAATCAGCGTGCTGAGAAGGCTCTGTGAGCCAATTTTCAGCCAAATCGGGATGGCCCGGTCATGGGTGGTAAGAACTTTAGAGGGTTCTATCTCGAGAACGGTCAATATTTCCACCCTAGAGACCATGATTTTCGGAATCAGCGTGCTGAGAAGGCTCTCTGAGCCAAATTTCAGCTAAATCGGGATGGCCCGTTTCTCGCTGCTGGACTCGCTGCGAGGGTTCTATCTCGAGAACGGTCAATATTTCCACCCTAGAGACCATGATTTTCGGAATCAGCGTGCTGAGAAGGCTCTGTGAGCCAATTTTCAGCCAAATCGGGATGGCCCGGTCATGGGTGGTAAGAACTTTAGAGGGTTCTATCTCGAGAACGGTCAATATTTCCACCCTTGAGACCATGATTTTCGGAATCACCGTGCTGAGAAGGCTCTGTGAGCCAATTTTCAGCCAAATCGGGATGGCCCGGTCATGGGTGGTAAGAACTTTAGAGGGTTCTATCTCGAGAACGGTCAATATTTCCACCCTAGAGACCATGATTTTCGGAATCAGCGTGCTGAGAAGGCTCTGTGAGCCAATTTTCAGCCAAATCGGGATGGCCCGGTCATGGGTGGTAAGAACTTTAGAGGGTTCTATCTCGAGAACGGTCAATATTTCCACCCTAGAGACCATAATTTTCGGAATCAGCGTGCTGAGAAGGCTCTCTGAGCCAAATTTCAGCTAAATCGGGATGGCCCGTTTCTCGCTGCTGGACTCGCTGCTCGCTGCTCGCTGCTAGTTTGACAGACGTGGTGAGAACTGAGATTGGGAAGTCGAGCTGATTGCACCCAATCAGTTCTCCATATACCGTGACCGCAGTGACCCAACCTACCCACGTCTAAGAAACTGCTAAGCCGATCGGAATAAATAGCGCCAGCGGCTTAATTTGCTTTTCTTGCAATCTCTGATACCAAATTAAGTACCTCCGATGGCCTCAGTGCTCCAAAAGATTGCAGCCTTATGACTCAGCGACTGGTAGGTCAGGTCGATCATAAGGAAAGTGGCGACCAGTCGCTTGCCGATGTAGGTATCTTTTCCAGGCTGTTTACCGCCTGGAACTTATACGGCCTTGGTTTACCGTTTCGAATGTGGTTTGAGGTTTCGAATTGTTATCAGCCGTTTCGAATGTGGTACCTAAGTGACCTAACCTATGTATTATGTGTATGGCTCGGTTACCTTGTAAGATCAATGCAATGTTCCTTCTCCTATCTTAGCAACAGCCCAACAACTACCAACCAGGCGCGGCCATGGGCCTGTTCCATTGGCTCCTCCAACCTCCTCAAAGCTCCTCTCATCTTTTTTCTGAGGAGCCAAAGGAACAGACCCATGGTGTCGTTTTATAAAGGCCTGGTAAATAACAACCTATTTCGTAGTAGCCAGGGTCTGAGCTCTACGAATAGGTACATTCCATTCAACATTTTAATGCTAGGCGTTGCATGGTAATGGTGACTTCAGTATCCTAACGCATATCATTGAGCCCTACCAATAAATTTCATCAACTGGTGCCCGTGGGGCGAGGTCAGTTGAGACGGTCGTAATTAAAACGGTTTGAAAGTCGTACGCGGCGAATCGAACGGTGCGTCGGTGCAGCTCGAATGCTACATACCTGTCTTTAGGGCATCAGTGTCACTGTCGCCGTCTTCTCGTTCTAGTATCCTGACCAATCGCGGTATGTAGGCAGCCTTCTTCACGTTGTGAGATTGTGATCCAGACCAAATCCCCGCCACGTAGGTCACCTGACACTATGCCTAAACGTTACCGGATTATTGTCCCGACTATAACGACATGCAACGTTTATAACGTTGCATGAACTTATCAATTGGGACTAAAATTGACTCAAAGCCATCAATTGACTCAGGAATGCTAGAATGATAATAATCTTTTTCGTCATTAAAAAATGAACTTATATCACACGTTCATTTAGACACTCAGTAAATATACCTACTATAGGGTAGGCGTAATGGGGCGTAAATGACTAATGAGACTATGTAAACGTAGTGGATAGGTAGAATAAATCGCCAGTGCATGCAGCACACATTGCAAAATATCTAAAACTCTGATTGCAAGACTCACCATCATAAGCGATTTCAGCGGACTTTTAATACACTACCGGAAGATGCTCGCCTCCCGTTAATTTGCAAGCCGTCATTATCGCGTGAGAACCGCGTTTCCGGTAGCACGACCAGCGCAGAGGCAGTGGTGTCGCTCAGTCGCTCAGTCTCACACCTCCGTGTTACGCGGTCTGCACAGCATCAGATGGCCACACATAGCCGCAGATCGTATCGCCGTATCTAACCATCGCTGCCGTGTCGCGTCGACAGCTCCCTCGCGTCGGTAGAGCGTGCGTCGCAGCGGCGTCCGTTCACCCCCGCCGGTCGAGCCCTCTTCCGCTGGCCAGCCGGTCGGTCACGTGACCGGTGGCGGGTTGACGCACCGGCAGACCGGCTGGATCACGTGACCGGCGTCCAGGAGGGCGCTCGAGCACCGTGACGCTCGGCGGCGCTGGGCAGGTGCGCGGCGCGACGCAGTCAGTCGGCCGCTGCGGACCGACGCGAAGGGTGGTGAACACAGGACGGTGGGTGAGGAGGAGCACGGAGCACCAGCGCAGGTCAGTGGCCCGTGCCGGGGGACGGCGCCGGCGCCACGCCCCGCCGGCTCCGGCGGTGCATCGGTGCTTTGCTGTGCCGCCTGGGGGAGGGGAGGGGAGTTGAGTGATAGGTTACAAACAGTGTTATCATTCACACCGGTGCCGATCTGTCCGAGGTAGTGAGCATGATGAATGACCATTCGTCAGTTATAGATTTGATCATTTAGTTGAACTTTGGGGCCTGCCTTGGAAGCATTGGGTAGGCATAATTGTTTGCTATCGCCTATCGATCAACGATTCATCAATTACGCGAAGTTAGTTTGCATACATTATCTCAGTCTGGCGGAGTCGCTTTCCAACGGTTGCTTTGTTCCCTCGTCGTTTTGGAGTTCCCAATATAAGTTCAAAGAGCCCGTTTACACACGTCACGGATGTCATAAGCCACGGAGACCTCTAATGACGATCGCGAATGAATTCACACATAAATACATTATTGCATATTATATTCACCAGAAACGTTTCAATCGGTAAGCACCGTGTTTCCATCAGCCTCCGGATGTATTCGGAAAATTCGAATTTCTGGCGTCCGACTTTCATGCTGGGCCGAATCGATAAATCAATGGGTGCGGGAGACGGGCGTTGGCTCGGCAAAAACAATCGTTGGGCTGGCACCACCGCGCCGGGGCCATTTTACATTTTACTCCAGTTCGTTTCCTGTCGTGTCCTTACATGCGGCTTTTTGGATGACACTAATAAAAGACGTGCGGGACAAAGATAATCCCTATCATGATATCTGTGTCCGTCTCGGCGGGTACGGTAAGAGCGCGACTCCGGCTGGAGAGCAGTGCTAGTACCTACGTCCGTTTCACATGCGGTTTCATCACATCACCCTAATCTGTCCCCATTTTTACTGGCCCGTGTGTAGGTACTCCGTGCTGATCGTACCGATAGCGATCACGACTGAGGTCCGTGTGTTTTGGTTTCCACGAACCGGCCCCAGTTGAGATGAGAGCCGATTGGAGAGCTGGGCGGCCTTGCCTGCCGACGGCTGAGTCAGTGGGCTGGAATTCCGGCCAGTTCGGTGGCGTGTTTTGTCGCAGTGCCGTGCGATCACGTCCGTCCGGCGCGGGGCTTTACTGTGAGACCGGCCCTGTGTGAATAGGGCCGGCGGGTGCCGTGTGAGAGACACGCCGACGGGACAGCACTGAGTCACGCCCCAGCGAGCGCCCGCCGTCCATGTTTCCCCGGCGTCGTCCGCGTCACTGGATCCATGTTTTCCTCGGTGTCGTCAGGACTAGTTCCATCATTGATGCTGGTGTGACCTTCATCGGTAACCGGTCACGTCACCTCTTCGTGGATGGCGCCTCGGAGTGGAAATGCCTGTGGTCAAGCATCGACGTCACGTTCAGGCTTTATTTGATCAAACAAACACGACTCGCTATGGAATGTTGAGATTCCATCGAGTTTTCCGAAATTGGGGCTGACGTGTGACTAATGCATGCCATCTCCCATATTCGTTATAAAATGGAATAATACAGAGCCTGTCCGCGCGCGTGACCTTAGATGAACCTCTCGCGTCACCGTCGTTAAGCAAACCCATCACTCCGGGTCGGGGTCTTTAATCTGCACTTCATATACCTCGTGGGAACTCCGCGGCGGTAATTGTCGCGTTCCCATGGTCCTGGTCATGACGGAGTGATGACGTCGGTCGTCCGCGGAGGAAGGTGACCCGGAGGACGCCTGCGCTTCCTCCGGTAAACTGTTCCCAGCGCGACACTAAGCCACCGCCGCCGCCGCCGACGGTCTAACGGCCGCGGCGACAGCGCGGTCGGACGGAGCGGGACGACATTCCCGGCCGCCGCCGACTGGTTTGTGCCTCGTTTGCAGGGTACGCCGACGGATCAGCTCGCCGCGCCGCACGGGCGATGGTCAGCGCGCAGCCGCTGCTGAGCTGAGCGACTGCTGGGAACGGAGATCTGGCCGCGATGCTGTCGTGGCTGGCAGGGCGTCGCTCGCCGTCGGGCGTGCACCTTCTGACCGATGACCCACTGGCGGTCATCGCAGGGCCTGTCGACAAACAGCAGACCGTCTACGCCGTCTCAAGGTAAGAGCGAAACGGCAACTTTATCGTCCTATCGGGCTTGATAGTTTTTATTTGTGGGTTACAAGAAAGCGGGATCAGGGCTCCCGAGAAGCATTGTGTTGCGTGATCTCTCATTCGGTTATCCGAACGGCCTGCTCCACTTCGCTTGAACGATCCGTTCCACTGCATTACAAACCTTTCGTGTCGGAATGCTTCCGTTTGTTCGACGAGAAAGCAACCTTGCGCGGTGTTAGTCCGTTTTAACTAGGTTATCTTGCCTCGCGATCTACCTCCTAAACTGGGTGCCGGATAAAGCTCGGGAGCTAGAACTGGCATAAAACCGATCGGTCTCACGGATCCGTATCTATTTTATCCCGCAACGTTTCGCCATATGATAGCATGATGCAAACAGCCGCGGCCTTACAATTTCCTCAACAGCAATTGCCACTTAATGCCTTTACTGGAGGCTCCTTCTAGCAAGTACCGGTAAAGTCCATCAGTCCATCGAGTCGCGTGATGCCAGTTTCGATCTGGGGGGTCACTGCAGTCGCAGGTCAGGGTGCCCCATTTCGTCCGGGATCCTCTCCGCTATCCGTGGCACTCACGGGTCACTCAGCTAAGTCGTCGGTCCGGCGGTGCTTCCGACTTCCGCTCTTTGTACTGACAGCCGCCGTCACGACCGCGGAGTTCGACCACGTCCGATCGGACATCGTGGGAGCGACCCGAGCGGTAGTTGACTTCACCCGAGCTCGGCGGCACTCCCGTCGGATTTATACAGCGTGCCGACCACCGAACTCATGAACGGACCTCTGAGAAACGGGCCCCGCGTAATCCGAGAGCCATGAACGGCGGATCGGCCGCAGCAGCGTTCGAGCTGACCGTCTACAGACAGCAACCAGTCGAACCTAATGCTTGTGGTTTGGGGTTATATTTTTAATGCGCTTTACATGCAAACGCATTACATTTTAATCGATTTCAACGCTTTATGCATTATTAAGACGGCAAAATACATCAGTGGCGCTGGGAATATCAACGATTGTACGAAATAAAGGCGGCAAAACTTTTACCTGACTTGGTCAAAGCCAAGGTACTATGAGCAATGACCCTTGTTCCAATGTCCGGGTATATTATCACTTAATCATTCAAACCGGTCGGGTCAGTGGCTTCCGAAGTTATCGATAACAATCGAGACGATATAAACGACTACGAATGCCATACGACTACAACCGTTACACTGTCAGATAGTTCATTAACATTTCAATGACTGATGTGAAGGAATGTTTTCTAAATTTGGAACCGCTTTATTCGAAGCTACCTTCATGACATTAAATTTTGGTAAACGGTACACGAATGACGTGTCACGTTTGATGCTGACATGGTGCATTCATATCTTAACGATCACATTGATCATGCAAATCGCCTTTTCGCTTGCATCATGCTGTAACCATCGGGAAGATTCCCATTAGTGTCCCGCATTTTTCAGTTCCCATGTGTTCCCGGCACCGCACCTGGCTGTCGGGAGTTCACTATTGGCGCCGCGGCCGCCCGGCTGTTTACCTATCGGTCGTTATTTCCCACACGGCTGGACCGTGGCTCGGAGCCGGTTCCTGTGGCCACAGGTCACGATCGAACCTCTCATCGGTCAGTGCGGGGTCGCACTTCTCCGTGTAGGACGGCCGCCATTCGCGGTGATGGAATTCTCTGTCATCTTTCGAGTGATGAGCTACGAGCTAAAACGTCGCCGAGTCAACCAGCCGATCCTTGGCGACACGGCACGTCACGTCGAGACCGGGCACGGCACGTCCGTACAAACGGCGTTCCCACGAGACGAAAGCGCGGCCGCGACCGCCGCCGCCGCGCCGTCTTTGTCTCGGCGGCGTCACCGGTCATTGTCGCCGGAGAGCGTCTCGCCGGTGGAGCGTGACACCGGCCGGCTCGCTCCACTGGTGCTGCTCCGGTGGGCCGTCCCGCTCGCTCGGTCTGGGCCTCCCCGTCCGGTACCGGCACCGGTCCTCCCGACACAGCAGTGCTAATGACCACGTCCCGAACCGGCCGCCACAGACGCCGGCGGGATATTTATACCCCAAAGGGAGTCATTTCACGGGTCGCAAATTGGCCGCGCCGGTCGCGACCGGTGAAGTTTTTCGTCACGGCTCTATAGACGATTCGACAGGCCGGGAGTGGCGGAGTCGCCGCGTTATAGTTACCGTCCGGTCGGCCCGAGAGGCGCAGATGTGGACGGAATGTGGCCCTGACGCTCTCACTGGCCACGGTCGGGGACGGGGTAATTGTCGGCGGCGGTAACCAGTCGGCATTACCTGTCCGCTTCAAAGGCTGCGGCCGGCGGCGTCACCGGACGCGCGGCGCTGCGCTGTGGCCGACCGTGCCCGCCCCTCCTCTGTCCCCGAGTACCGTGCGGTCAGACAGACGCGGCACTGAGGAAAGCCACAGCCTCACTGATGACAGGGAGCAGCTCCCGATAGACTGTATTGACGCCAGTAAAACAGCTGCGGAGTTCAGGGCAACCGTAAGGCGACCCCTGCACTTAGCGGAGTTACGGGGAACAGAGCTGTGGACGATGTACATACGAGTAGCGGTGCCCTTGGGCAATGCTCTGGTCCTTCCCGTCATCCTCTCCGCGACTCTTGGCTCCTGGGCCATCCCGCTGCCCCGTCAGTGAAGCGGAGTCTGGAATGGAGTGGAGCGTTTCGAGGAGTGGAGTTTGGAGTGGCTCGGACCGTGGAGTGGAGTGAGCAGTGACTCGCAGTGGGCGCTGCGCGCCGGCCGGGCGGCAGGTGTGCTGCCTGCTCGCCGCTCGGGCCCCGGCCGGATGCCGGCGGTTTCTCGGTCAGCTGACCGGGCGGCGGACGGTGGCCGACCCCCCGGCCGGCTGTCGTACCGGCGCGGCTGCCGTTCCCAACACAAACACACGGTGATTACCGCCTGCCGCCCGCGACCGGCGGACATCCCACCGGTGCACGCAGCCGCCGCCCGCCCGCCCAGCTGACACGCGCGAATGACTCACACCCGCCCCCGCACCGCCGCCGGCTGCGGCCCAACTGGAAAGGTGGCATGATTCAGGCGCTTCTGCTGCATTCGGCCGGTCCCCGGCACAGTCATCCGGCCCGGTTGGACTTCTCAGAATCGTTCGTCATTCGACCTAGGACCGTTTTACCGACGTGTTTTGTCGTTGTGTAACCAACGCGTCAATCAGTCGTCAAAAAAGGTCGATCTGGCGCGGCTACTTATTTGGTCGCCGGTGTCGAAACGTGTGGTCGTAAACCGTTCAGGTTCAGCTCCTTGGCCTGGCGTAGCTAATGGTCGGGGCTCGCTCGCACCGGCTGGCAGCCGCCAGGACGCGACCGGAGGGGTAGGGACGGAGGGTCGCTGCCTGGACGTCGCAGCGGACGGTCACGCGAAAATGTCGTAAATCAACGCAACACGTTGTGGGGATTCTCATCGGACTGTGAAATTATGATGTTATAGCCCTAACTAACGTCATCTGTTGTTTTCTTTTGTTCATTTTACCTCTGATGACTTCGTAACCATAAAAGTATAAATAGCTCTGAGGTTACACGGCTCTTGATGTTATGCTGTATAATGAACCTTTCCGCGAACACAATGCCCCACAGCGTGAATTCCCGAGATGGGGGCCTGCATTGCCCTGTCATACGATCTCCATGATATGCACGTGTATACCGATTACCGTGAACGCATTTCGTGTGCCGACTGTCCTGTGTGGTGTCACCTCTCCCTGAACTGGCTTCACACCAGTCTGTCCTCACCGTTCCAGGACGAACCCCATGTTCGAGGAGGCCTGGCCGGGCGGCGTGCGGCCGGCGGAGGACGAACGGACCGGCTGGCAGCGGTCGGCGGCCGACGGCAGCACCTACTGGCACGAGCCGCCGCCGGACAGCTCGCTCCAGCTGGAGGCGGCCGCGGACGACACCGGCGGCCCGCCCGACTCGCTCGAGCCGCCGCCGCCCGCCTCGCTGAGACGGTTCACCGAGCACGGAGAGCTGCCGGAGGTGCACAGGGGCCCGCGCATCCACCGCGGTCCGCTGCGGCCCGGCGCGCCCGCCGGCCGGCCGGCTACCCTGCCCCGGCCCGTGTGGCCCTCGGCGGTGGGCGACGCGCCGGTCCCGGAGCCGCCGCGGCGCCTCTCCGTCACCGGGTACATGACGGTGGCTGATCATGTGGGACCCACCTGGCCGGGCCGCCGGGCTCCGCCGCCGGGAGCTGTCGGCAGGTTCCCGCTGGACCGGCGGGCCACCTTTCCGCCGGCGCGGGCCGGGCTGCCCGGCCGGCTGCCGTCCATTCCGGACGAGGAAGTTGAGCCGCCGACGGACGGTCAGCCGGACTCGATTGTCACTGAGTCGCTGCTGCGGCTCACTACCCCGCGCACCACGCCGGCCGGCTCGGTCCGAGATGGCACCAGTGACAGCCGCTCGCCAGCCGGCTCCACGAGGGCAGAGAGCTTCCGCTGGGAGGGCTCCCCGGCCGGTGGGGCGGCCGGTGCTGATGTGATGCTGCCGCCCCCGCCGCCGCCGCTGCCACCGCTGGCACCCCCGCCGGGCAGCTTCAACTGGGACCGGACGCTGGAGCCGCTGCTGCAGGTGCTGTGGTCGGGAGATGAGTCGCCGCCGGTCCTGCGCCGCTTCCAGGAGGTACCCAGCTCGGTCGGAGGTCCGGGAGACCTGGAGGCCGCGCTGCCGTGGCGGAACTCGGCGGCCGGGGAGGGCCCGTTCCCGGCGCCGCCGTCGCGTGCCAGCTCCGAGCTGTCTCAGCTGTACGCCGAGCTGGCGGCGCCGCGGCCCTTCTCGCGGGCGCTCTCCGAGGAGCTGTACGCGTGGCCCGTGTCTCCGCCGGTGGCCGTGGCGCCGCCGCCGCTGGCCCGGCCGCCGACCCGCGCCGAGTCGCCGCCGCCGGCCTACCTGAACCAGCTGCTGCCCTCTGACACGTCGTCGGCAGGCGGCCGGCGGCGCGGCCGGCTCGGCTCGGACGCTTCCTCTCAGCCGAGCCGCTCGGTGCGGCGCACGCCGTCCGACGCATGCTCGGACGACTCGCGGGACAGCCGGCTGAGTGCCGGCAGCCGCGGCCGCCTGCTGCCCTCGGACAGCTCCGAGGGCGGCAGCGAGCGACGCGTCACCTTCTCGGCCGACACCGTGGATAACGAGCCGGGCCCGGCGCGGCCGCGGCCCCGGCGTCACGCCGACCGGCCGCCCGCCCGCCGCGCAGTCGGCAGGGGCCGCAACAAGGGCTTCTACGCATCCAACATGCTCAGCAGGCTCACCGGACTGAGCCACAGCGCTGGCGGCAAAAAGGTGAGACCATCAACATTCCCGAGTTACCGCCTCCATGCATGTTTTATCCTTCCCTGAACGTATATACGCATTGGTTTTCCCTTATCCCGGTACCTGCGATCTGCAGGCAGGCAATACGCATGCTTTGAAAGAAACACTCCGAGAAACAATGGCAAATTAATAGAAAAGAAAAATCGGAAGCACGTAGCAGCTACAGAGGAGGCATGGGTAAATCACAATGCACACGGAGAAGGCAACCAAACTGTAGAAATTGGATGGCTGCCCTTGAATGGATTAGGACCCGTTAAAACAATAGCGTCCTTGTTAAAAGAAGTCGCTTGGCAACCAGGGTGGCATCACTTCAACAGTCACCTCAAACAATATCACAATTCATAGCGGTTGATGTCCAAAGGTGTTTTAAAAATGCCCACCTCAAGGTGACAGGCAGCTTCTTTGTTGGGGCAATGCATGCAAAAACAGCACTTATCATACTGGTCTGGAGCCGTTCTGTCCACTGTTGGATATGCTAATAAGGAAAGCGGTGGCAGGGCTGCAGGAAAAGGGGCGTCGTCTGGGCCTGGGCGGGCCATCCTCGTCGCCAGTGGCCCGGTAATCCGTCACCTTGCCGCCGGCTGGAGGGAGGGGTTGGGTCGATCCAGCCCGGATTGGCAGACTTTCTCCTCAGAAGGCGACGGGCGGACGGACGCCGCACTGTGGGGACTTTGTCCATCCTAGCACGACTTAATTCATACCGCACCCTACGCTACTTTTACTAGCTTTATTTCGCCGTCAAATGGTTGGTCTAATGGTTACTGATCCCAGACAACATGGTTGGCTCCCTTGTTGCATCCATCCCTCCCCCATAGACTTAGCGCTAAGTCGTCTTCGGCTAGCAATGCATCGTGGGCGTGGAAGCGTTCAAGAAGTGGAACGAAGCTATAATTGTTTTTAGAAATAGATATTTGCTCATGTTTAGCCCAATAATCAAAAGGCATTTCGGACTTAACCTTGTGAAGCCTTGCACTTGAAGGGGAGGGGGTCGAACAGATCCTCCCCCACGGTTTTTCGCAACTAACTCAAGCAAAACGTGGTGGAACGCGACTAAACTTTCTATACCTTAGAGTCGGTCAATTTTATACATGAACTGAAAGTTCATGACCTTGACTTTCATAAGTTTTGACATATGACCTGTTTCTCCCGACCAGGCTAGGCTGCTATCGATTTGGCGCATGTGAGCGCACATTATCGGCGCTTGTTGTGGCTGCTAACGCTCCAACATATGAAATGCTGTTTGTTCCTGGCATTTTTAAGGTCAAAGGTTAGGTCGAGGTCATTTAGCTTAGATGACCTTAGTTAACCTTTTCGAGTAAGCATTTTTCTAGATGAGTGCTTGGAAATAATTTCGAATTCCTTTTCGAGTAAGCATTTTTCTAGTTGAGTGCTTGGAAATAATTTCGAATTTAACACCCGTTAAAACCTTTAATAAGAAGTTTTGGTGCTTACGTAACCTGTTACGAAGCCATTAGAAGTGATTTACACCTGCCTTCTATGGATAGGCGGCAGGGCACCTAATCGTCGGGTCTAGCCTGACCCGACCTTGCATGAAAAAGATCATCATTGATCAAAACTAACACGAAAATCGTGATCACCACCCCCAAAACCTACACCCCCACTTTACGAAGTTATATCAGTTTTCGATTTGCCTATATCAAAGCTCCATAACTCAAGCTTCTTAAGGTGAACATTGACTGTAGAAGCCAGTAATGTAGACGCAGCGTTGCAACAGCGTTGTTGATTTATCCAAGAACAATATTTGGCGATGGAAAATAACAAGGTCAACATGGTATCACCCCCTCCCTCCCTCCTACCAACCCCTACTGACCGGAATCCCCCAGGCGGTGTGCCGCGGTCGGGTAACCCGCCGCGGCGCGGCCCGGCGGGGCGTAAGAAACCACGCGTCACCGTCTGCTTTGACGTCTCATAGTGACTGGTTTAGGCAAATTTCGGCAAAAAATGAGAGTTGCCCCCGATGCAGAAATTATTGGAGAACATTTTGATATGTGTTGTCATGCGTACCACCGCGTATCAAACTTTGTAGGGTAACAGTTTCCTGATTCAACTCCTGGAATCAAAAGCATTTTAAAATTTTTAGCATTTGGTTCGAAAATGATACCTTTGGTTGATTTTTGGAAATTTTCGTGTATATCATCATCTTCCTCATTAAACACAGATAATGTAAACATATCGCAACTTTAAGCTACTGTTCAGGGAAACGAGTGAGCGGGCGTTTCATTGTCATGTGCTTTTTCGCTATATCCGGGAAGCAGGATGCTGGTCAGCACAATGCTACACTTTGAGAGGTGTTTTGAGGTGTAAGCAATCGTTTTTGAAAGGATTTAAGGTCGGGTATGGATGCACTGGGCAATTATACGTGAAATGGATGACAAAAAAGTGGATATCAAAATACTCGTATTTGCCACTTATGTCGTTCTAGGATGGCATAAGTCCCCACGGTGCGCCGGTCACTCGGTTATTAACATTCCTGGATTAGGAAAAACGACCAGGAAAGATCAGCCATGAGGACGAAAATTGATCTGATTCATGACTGCCAGGCTCGGTAAAGCAACAAAGACATCGTCCGTCGCAATGTTGAGCGCAAGGACACGTTTTCCGATTGAGCAATTCATCTCATTTTCCTGCACAGTGCACATGTTCTGGGAGTTGAACGACTGTAAACGCGCCGGACCGGGGTGCTGATTGATTTTTAGCACCGATCTACCATTGAAACGTCACTTTCCTCGTTGTTCGGCCGCACACCGTGTCACTAACTGTAAAATTAAGTCAATCAACGTGTCCGATTGACTTTGAACGACCTGCACCGACCGGCGGGCGGTAGTTCGCTGACTCGAACAAGCTTCTATGAGGATAAAGTAGCTATTTTTAACCTATGGAACGTGTTTGTCAGTGTCCTTGCGCGGTGGGGGCTGGACCGTTCGCTCCTAGCAGGCTATGTGCGTCTCTCTGACCGTGCGTCCCTTCCTCCCAGGAGCTGCAGCTGCGAGGCGTCTCGGTGGAGCTCGGAAGGAAGGCGGAGCTGCGCTCGCGGCACCTGTGCACGGCCGTCACCGCCGTGCTGGTGCTGGTCCTGCTGGCCGCCGCCGGCGTGCTCACCGCCTGGCTGTGGACGACAGAGAGGCGCCTGTTCCGGGTCTGACCGGACCAAAGGACAACACAGCGGCGCTTAGTTCGGACCAAAGGACCACCGAGTTCCGGGTGTGACCGGGCCAAATGGACCAATGGACCACTGAGCAGTGCCTGTTCCGGGACTGACCGGACCAGTGGACCACAGAGCGGTGTCTCCTCCGTACCAACGGACCTTCGAGCAGTGCCTGTTCTGGGTCTGACCGGACCAACAGACCATCACGCGTCGTTTCCGGACCAAGAGATCGCCGAGCGGCGCCTGTTCCGGGTCTGACCGGACCAGAGGAAGGACGGACAGCGGACAATCTAGAGTGTCTGAACCAGTGACATCATCTGGATTCAGCGTATTGGGTCAGGTTTACCGTGTGCTTTGTGCAGTGCCGCTATTTGGCGAGGAAAGTGATAGGGGAGGATGAGATCTGCCTTCGATGTGGCGGTGCTTATCATAATGTGGCATTAAGACACAGAGATCATATCAATTTAGTCTGTAATTATGAGAATTTGTTAGGGTGTGTGCTTTAAGTTCATTGAACAGAAGATGCTTGGCGGTGACACTGTGAGCGGACAAGTGGGCGGGATTGTTGAACATTTGTTTGTGAAGCTATGAAGACAGCTATGCCTGTGAGACATTCGTGAGGCTGGATTTTACGTGGCTCTCATGCCACAAAAGCTCCAGCGGATGACAGTGCTCTTTTCACCGTGAGTGTATGTGACGTGTTCACAGATGCATGTGACCTTATGTAAGGGCATTGTATCCAGTCGATGATGTGAACCAAGGCATTCCGACGCAAAACGTTCGATATCTAGACATTCCATGTTTCATATTTATATACCGACCCAATTGAGACGCTCAAAAGTCAGCACCGGACGTGATTCGGCTATGCGGAGGCGCGAATCTGACTGTGAGTTACACCAAAGTATTGTCTTCCCGCAACAGCTCGTGGTGTTGCAATTAAAAGCTAGACTCATTTTTGCTGCTTACAGTGTCTTCCCACAAAAGTGATGCAATTTAATGCTGAAAGTGGACTTTTGTTTGTTTGGACTTTAAATTTTTCTGTTTGAACTGTGAATCTCTGTTCCCTGTCATTGTGCGAGGTGAAATATAATATCGACACAAAATCGATGTTTCCTGTGAATTCACTGAAGCGCTTGTTGATAATAACCATGACGTTGTTTGCCGTGTCGGGTAACATGCTGACAAACAAATCATTACTCGTGTGATGTCAGCGCCGTTCAGGATCACACCCCTGAAGGTCGTCCCGGACGGTTCGGACACGGAAAGACACCTGTAAAACCAGGGGAGACACCCAGCTCGCCACCCGTCCCAATCACAATGAGCCCGGAGACCGGTCGACCGAACCGCAAACGGAGGAAAGTGCGGCGACTGTCCGCGGCCCTCCCGCTGTGGTAATCACGGCTGACCTTCAGCCGGACACCAACTCTTGTGTCCGGCCGTGTTCACTATACACCGCCGTGCCAGCGCGAGATTCGTGCACCAGAGATCGTGTCATGAGGCCCGTAATCAGCTACATCTAACATCTGATAGGGGAGAGTGGGGCAAAGCGGCCACCCGGGGCAAAGCGGCCATCCATCGTTTTAGCCCTCCACAGCTGGCGTCAGTTCCAATTTATGATTTCCAATTATTCTTCTCTTTGCGGTCGTTCGAATGAGCCAGACCGGGGTTTCAGGCCCATCGCCATTGTTCTGTGAAACACGGAAAAGCATTTCTTGCCAGGTTACCAATTATGTTTACAATTTTTAAATGTTATTTTATTCCATAACCGTTTGGAATTTTTATAAGCGTTTTTGTCCATGCATTGCGTGGTTATCGTACACGCCTTCTACCAATTTTAATGCTTTTTACCCCACTAATAGCTGAGCTGGAATATTTTTGTCTCGGACGGTATGCGCGGGGCAAAGCGGCCGGGGCAAAGTGGCCAGCCCCCAATTGGCCATAAGTTGTTTCCATCTGAATAAAAACATTATTTATATTCAAATGTGTCGTCATGCATTCATCTTGGCCACTTTTCGGTTACATGAGTTACGAAATTATGCAATTAAATGTTTTTCCAAGAAAATTCTTTCTTTGTTTAGCAATAGGTGGGAAGAGAACAAAGTAAACATCCATCTTCCCTTAAACCTTGTCACCATCAAATACCCTAGTCGTGCATGAGGCAACTATTCTGTTTCTCATATCGGGACTTGAGAAGTCGCCAGTGGCCGCTTTGCCTCAGGGATGGGGCAAAGTGGCCAATATGCTATAGGTTTAAAGTTTTGTCAATATCTCCCATATGTGAACGCCTTTGGAAATGAAACGCAGTTGGAATAAAAGACAATTTAATAGGGATCACATTGGTATAGAAAGAATCTTTCCAAGTTTAAAAATCAAGCGTCGGTATCGTTAGAAACGTTAGGGTGGCCGCTTTGCCCCACTCTCCCCTACTTAGAATATCAGAGATCAAACCGCTGTGATAAACACCCGGGCCATAAACCCTCGTCCATCTCTGTCACCGGTCGGATTAACGTCACAGTCAGTCAGGAGAGTCGTTTTCACGAGCACGGAGCAGGGTCCCACCATTCAATGTGCATGACCTACGGACACCAGAAGGACTGCAGGTTTCCTCTGGTTGTCGCTCTGCCGGCTCGGGATCAATCGTGCGTGACGGCAGTATTTCCCGCCAGAGGTGTGACATCAACTTACTCTCGTGATTGCGGCTGGCAGAGAATACGGACATTTCCTCCGCCCACGTCAGCGGCGTCAGCGTTCTGAGACGAGCATGACCGGCAGCTTTCACCGACAGAAAGATTTCCGACTCAGATAGAATCAAAGCCAATTTAGCCGACACACCGCAATGAGGCGATAATTTTGGATCGGAACGGTGTAGTGTTCCTGTATGTCGTGTCTGCCTGTACGCACTAGACGGATGCGGATATCGGATACTAGACACAGTACCGGTCAGCAGACCCCCCCCCCCCCCCGAACCTCCTACCCCTTCCCCATCTCAGACACAGCTGCATCGGTCGGTCAGCAGAAGGCCACCACAGACACATCGCAGTAGGTAGGCAGAATAAAGTCTGATTATTCAGTGAGCTTTGTGCGTAGGTGTGGACATATTAGCACAGCAATAACGGACACGACACAACACTCGTCCAGTCAGACAAAACGAGTACCAACAAAATCACAGAACAATCACAAAACTAGTACATCAAAAACGTGCGGCTGCCAAAAGTGGCACCCGTTCGCATAAATAAAGTCGAGATTCGCAGCACAGCATAAGTACAAAAATACAAAACAACCATCAGTAATAAAGCCAAGAGGGACAGATCAGGTGGATGCCGGGTCACAACCATCCATAATGACGCGCCATAAGCTACTGGAATCGGCACTGGCGGGCATACAGGGGTCCAGCGACCCGGCGTGCTGACCGGCTTACAGGTCAAATGACTGACCAGTCATGAGTCAGCAGGGTTCACTGCGTGACCCCACAAACTGGTCAGCAGGGGTCACCGACAGCCCTTTCTTGGGCCAATGGTGACCCATGCTGACCGATCGGGGACCTACAGAGGCCGCCGAGTCATCGCTTGCCAGAATAGTAAGTCCCGATAATCGAAGACGGTTAGTGGCCGTTGCAAGTCGTCAGTCTGCCAGTAAGTAGGAGCTGCCAAACAGTATACGTCCAGACATCAAAGGCAAAAAACGAACGGCCAAATGGCCTCGCTGGCAGAAGCGCCGCGCATACAGTGTAAAATACTGCCGGGCCAAGGGAAAAAATGCCGTCAGCCGACACTCACTACATCCAAAATACAGCGCTGAAAGTGTCGCCACCTAGCGCGATTGCACATGATATATTCCGAGGAAGGCGTGTCTTGCACAACGGCCGGTGGCCAGGGTTAGTAGCCGCTACCCGCCCAGCAGACCCATAGAAGCTCTCGGCACAAACAAAACGTGCCTCTACCCTGAAGCTGCGGAATGAAGCGGGCCCCTCTCAGGACGCGACGGGAGTCCCACTGGATCACAAAGTCAAATGGCTCTCCAGCCAAAAGCGAACAGCTTAAAAGCACAAGAACGTCGCTTTAGACGGAAAGCCCGCCAGGCTGCCTCGTGGACCGTGTCAACGGGTAAAATCCGTCTCTTCGGGCCCAATGGCTTCCTCTAATCGGGGAAATGCCAGTTTTGCAATACTGGAACCGTGAGGATAGTCCCCTCCAAGTCCCGAGGTACCACCCCGTCTCCTCTGCGGCCGTCCCTCCCCGCCGGCCGGCACTCAGCTGTCTCTGGGGCCGGTGCCCGCCGCCCGCCGCGGTCACAGGCTGACGCCACGCACCACCAGCTCGCGGGCCGGCTGGTACAGACGCCGGCGCAGCAGCTGCAGCTCGGGGAACAGACGCAGCTCGCGCGTGGCGGCCGTGTCCAGCTCGAACACGGCCACCAGCAGCAGCAGCAGCAGTGCGGCCACCGTCAGCACTGCGTACAGCAGCACGCGCAGCAGCGGCGCCACCAGCAGCCGGCGGCCGGCGGCGGGAGCAGACGGCCGGCGGGACGGCCGGCGCGGCGGCTCCGGCGGCACTCCGCGCTCCAGACGCGACACGCCCGCTGCGAGAAACACAACGAAACACGACGTAAGAACCAGGGAACGCGTCACAACTCAACACATCAATAAAAGGATCCCAATAAGTAACATACCAGCGATTCACTTATCATTTCAATACAGCAAGATACTCATGGTGCTTCGAAAAAAAATTAGAGAGAGAGGAAACAAAGCCAATTTGCCAGCAAATAACCGTGTTGTGACACATGACTTGAATTACTTTATAGTTTTATACAAATGCAAGTTAGTGCACCAACTCTGACCATGCATCAGCACCAATAACCTTGCCCATATTTACGCAAGTTATCATTTGTCTTGCCCGTGTAGGGGTGAGTTTGTGAACTAACCTTGTCCGAGCAGTGGTGAGTTTGTGAACTAACCTTGTCCGTATAGGGATGAGTTTGTGAACTAACCTTGTCCGAGCAGTGGTGAGTTTGTGAACTAACCTTGTCTGTGCAGTGGTGAGTTTGTGAACTAACCTTGTCCGTGCAGGGGTGAGTCGGTGGGTACAGTGAGAGTGGTGAGAGGCAGCGGCCGCTCGGCGGACCGGTCCTGTTGCTGCTGAGATGTCAGCCCGGCAGACTCGTACGCCCGAATCGGAGACATGTCTGGAGAGAGGCGGGAGCACGGTTAGAGCGACGAGAGCAGATAGAGGAGCGCTAATCAGCCCGCGGTGTGACAACACAGCTGGACAGAATTACGGCCAGAGTCGAACACAGGCGTTGTCAACGGTTGACAACGGAAAGAATAAGCTCGCTAGTGAGTATACAGCCGGACAGCAACACGGACCAGCTTTACACAAAAATACACAAATTGACAAAGGTGAATGCAGTAATTACTTCCACTTAAGAAGAGCACATGCAAATGTCGCGTGCGAGGAAAACTGAAGTAGCCGCTGACAGCACGCGATGGTGACCAGGATACGCGCCGCACAATGCGCTGGTAATGTCGCGGGATCTTCCCTAAGCCCGCTGCCGTCTAGGTCTGTTCTAGATCGCAGAGGTATACGACGTGTACACGGCAGTTTGTGTGTCTGTCTGCCTCTGTCAGTCGGCCTGCCTCTGTGCGTCAGTTTGTGCTCTTGTCACTGACCGGGACTGGAGGGCGGTGTGTAGCAGTATGTCTGTCTGTCTGTCTGTGTCCGTCTAACACTGACCGGGACTGGAGAACGGTGTGTACTGTGTACTGTGTAGCTCACTGGACTGGAGGTCAGTGTGTGACTGATCTGTCTGTCTGTATGCCTGTCTGTCACTGACCGCGACTGGAGGGCGGTGTGTAGCTCACTGGACTGGAGGTCAGTGTGTGACTGATCTGTCTGTATGCCTGTCTAACACTGACCGGGACTGGAGGGCGGCGTGTAGCTGACGATCTCGTCCAGCGGACGCAGCAGCCGGCCGCCGGTCTCGTCCGGACCACACGGGGCCACCATCATGGTCTCGTCGTCGGCCAGACTGGTGTGCTCCGGGATCGGAGAGTCGTGCGGCAGCCGGGCCGCGCCGTACGCTGCCGGGTCAGAGAAGGATGGATTAGAGAAGACCGACAAACGGGAAAAAGCGGAACGCATGGCAGACTAAACCAGTGCGGCCATAACATTGATGTCCTACTGCACTTGCAGTGAATGCCACCGAATTGTTTCAAAACTTGATCTCTTTCCGACATTGCAATATGACCCGAACCGATAGCCCGAAACTTCTAAAAAAATCCACAAAGCTCCATCCTGACACCCACTCCTGTATCCCATCTGTCCTCACCTGACGAGCTGCCCTGCGATTCACACGGTGTGGCCGGTACACTCTGAGACTTGGGCCGGACCGATGGACGCAGCCCGTATCTGGGGAAGGAGAAGGGAGCCAGTCAGTACGGTGTGGCCGGTACAGTAGGTCTACAAAAAAAGTCCCCCGCTCCAGAGGCGGCCGGCCGGCCGAACCCCCGGATTCCAGCCCCGACTCTATTGCGCAGGCCGCGGCAGCGACACGGGTCAGGTCGCGGCGCCCGGCGAGTGGGTCAGTTGGCGGCGGCCGGCCGTGGAGTGAGGACGCCGTGTGAGGGGCGCAGAGATGCCGCAGTGCAGAGGAGGGGGAAGATAGTGACTCTGCACTATGCCGGAAATGATGCCTTTGTGATCTAAATTAAACACCCGCAGACGCAGTGCATATCCTCCCTCGCCGCATTCCTATTTTATCATAACCCTTCAATAATCCGTAATGACTATTCAACGCAAGCAAGCAAACAAAACAACCCGTTTAGCGGCGACATCATCTCGGATAAAAAAGCGACAGTAATGATTAAAATAGACATAGCGCGAGAGCAAATCGAGGGGTATATATGTATAACATACCCAGCATTTTATTCCCATCTAGCAAATCAAGATTGGGGATCTTGTCCAACAAGTCAGCGGCCGTTCTAGTTAGACACAGATAAATGCTTTGTTTTCGGTCGCATCATTATCTGCAATAATTCGAAGCGAGGTTTAACCCTCGGCGGCCGAGAAGAAGGAGTGAATGCCGCCACCATGTATTTTTTTTTTGCGGTAGCTCAAAGCACACTGATGATAGAAGGCTGACATTTCACATGCCTTGCATTTGATTCACGCCGGATCATTTGAAATCAACCACGTTTTCAGGTCACTGGTCACTTAACCATGGCGTCTTAACCCTCGCCGGCCGAGGGTGGTGCCGCCCCCAATAGTTTTTTTTTTCGCGATAGCTCCGAACACGCTGGGGATAGAAAGCTGAAACTTAGCATACCTAACCTTTAATTCAAGCCGGATCTTTTGACACCAACCGCATTTTGGGTCAGGTCAGGTCACTGACCTATAGCGTCATAAGTGAGCCTCTGCACGGTCTTCCGATGTCGCAACTTCGCAACGCCCTCACTGCCAGAGAAGATGTCACAGGGAAATGAAACTTGCAGGATCTAGTATCCATTATGAGTCTCACAACTTGTATATCTCGGATTTTTCCTAAAGGTCATATGAGGTCAGGTCATTTTCGCGACCTCACCATTAGGTATAAGTCAATGGGTAAAAATGAAAACTGCTATTCTGGCGCCGGGAACGATCTCCAACTACCTCAAGCACACATAATCGTGATTTGATGCACTCCTTGCAAGGTTAGATGCGTCACGTTTGCAATTTTGACCTTGCGTGACGTCATTTATGACGTCATCAAGGTCATATTAGTTTTTCGTCAATAACTCCGGATCAAATTGAGCTAGCGAGTCGGGAAAGCCACCAATGGACTCAGGAAGACCTGCCGAATCGAATGATATGTAACATGACCTCTTTCGACCAACTTCGTGACCTGGGGGTGCTGACCTGACCTTGACCTAAGGTCAACACCCCAAGTTGACCTGACCCGGACAAAAAGTATATTATTCGACGCGCCTGAGCAAGGCGAACACGATGCTGCCAAAATTGCGGCTCTGCGGCCGTTTTTTGCGACGTTATTCACCAAAAACTGAACCGTACCTTGGGGCACTTGACCTGACCTCAGAGGTCACCGGTTGACCTAGGACCTTAAAATCGGGTATTAATCTCTGCGTCTCGTAACGGCGCACACGCTCGTTTTTTCCGCGACGCGCTAGCTCTACCTGGGGCGAAACGGCGAGGGGGGTCGTACCCACCCCCACCCCCCTCGGCCGGCGCGTATGTAGAAAACCAATAGGTCCGGCGAGGGTTAAGTAAACCTCTGCACGGTTGTCGGTTATAAAATGATGCAAACCCGCAATGCACTTAGTGTCAAGCATAATGGAGAAATATGGAAACTGTTAATTTGGCTTCGGAAATGATCTAAAATTACACCTCAAGCACTTCAAATCGTGACTTCATACAATCTTGGCAAGGTCTAATGCTTCACTTTTGCATTGTTCACCTTGCTTGACGTCATTTATGACGTCACTAGGGTGATAGGAGTGCTTCGTCAATAACTCCCGATCAAAGTGAGCTAGCCAGTCGGGACAGCCATCTTTGGACTTTGCAAGACTTGCCGAATCAAATGTTATGCAACATGTCCTCCTTTCAAAAGCTTCGTGACCTGTGTTGCCCTAACATGACATTGACCTCAGGTAAACATTCTAAATTGCTTCACCTACACAAAAAAGCATATAAATCGACGCGTCTGAGAACAGAAAACACGATTGTATCGAAATGACGATAATGCGACCATTTTTGCGAAGTTATTTACCTAAAACCGATCGAATGCCTTGGGGCCCTTGACCTGCCCTAAGAGGTCACTGATATTTGAAAATGGGGTGCCAGTCGCTGCGTCACGTAACGAAGCAAGCGCTCGTTTTTTTCCGCGAGGCTCTAGCAGCTAGCTCAATTATAGGAGCTAAACATGGGGTTGGGGGATCGTTCCCTTCTCACTCACTATTTGGCCGGGATAGTGTTTGCAATTATTGTTAAAATCTAGCATTTTCAGATTTCAAATAACCCATTTTTCCCGCCCAAGTCTTTCAATTCAAGGTCATAACACCAGGGCCTCGTTTCATAAAGCGAGTCCGTAACTTACGCCGGTTTTTGGGCTTGTATTGCAAGCGCATGTGAAGCGATAAATTTGTTTCCCCTTTTCCCTTCTGTTCTTGCTTGCAAAATAAATGAATTCCACTATCCAAACTATCGTCATCGCTTCACATGCACTTGCAATACAAGACCAAAAACCGGCGTAAATTACGGACTCGCTTTATGAAACGAGGCCCAGGTCACGTCAAGTGACCTTACCTCAAGGAAAGTTCCTGTGCTCATCATATCTAAATACACCGACTAACCGATCGCTTTAGAACTTTCAGCGATTTCAATGGGCAAGACTTTATGTATTTGAAACGTTTACTTTGCAAGTTTGACATTGTTGACAGTAAGGCCGGGTCAATTTTGTGATCGCTCAAGTCAATGGGAGAAAATTGAACTGCGCTTTTTTGGACGGAACGCTTAATAAACACTATGAAAACACGTGGTGCTTGATGAGATACAATACTGAATGAGAAAATTGTTTGTTTTGTTGGGAGCCATCTTTTTCGGTCTGAAAAGGCCCTTGCAGAGCTATGACATAACTATGCGCTGGTGTAGTAATTGAGTTGTGCGAGCCAGCGACAGTGATCTGCGGAAGCGAGACTGTTCCCGTGGGACGATTGCCCTGTCGGGACGGTCCAGCCGTCTCCCAAACGGTCACCCGAAGAGGATTATGTGTCCTGGAATGGATCCGACATCAACTACAGGTTGGCTGGTGGGGTGACCTCCAGTCCAGAGAGGGAAACATGAAGACTAGGGGCGATGTGGATTGTTTTTTCCTGAGGATAGCGAGGACGGAAGGGATCTAGCACCCTTGACCCTTCCTTATACTGAACGTATCTCAGGCTGTTAAATCTCCTAAGCGTTTTTTTTTCTCGACATCGTCAAGGTGTCATTAATAGAAATATGAAATCCGGGAGAATAAATTAAATATAGAAATTGTGACCAACAGAACATTATCAGTTGCGTTAAACATACTAGTAAGCATGATCACACACCCAGCTTATATATGAGCCATGTCATAATCATTTTTGATAGACATGCTTAAGTTATGAAATCATCTAAAGTGTTTGTAAAGTTCCACGATACGAATCTAATATCCTGCTATGCATCATGACCATTTCTGGTCAAGTCATGTCTTTGGACATAGGCCAAATTTTTCAAATGACCTTTATAGATCAACTTTTGATTCATTCGAAGCGTTTTTTTGATAAGAGGAACACGAGGCTGGTAAAATTAATTTCAAGCAAGTTTTAAGCTAAAACTTTTAACCCGCGCCGGGCCGGGGGGTGTTTGAACACCCCCCTTGCGGTTTTTCGCAGATATCTCAAAAACGGCGGCGCGGAGCGCCGCCGTTTTTCGCACACCTGTTTGTGCATCTTTTCCGCACATGTTGTGAAAATTTCAGACCCAGGTCGCCTTAGGTCAGGTCACCAGGTCACGCCAAGTGACCTCACCTCAGAAAAAATAAGAATGCTCGTCATAGCTACATTGACTGAACGATTGCCTTGAAACTTTCAGCGATTGATAAGAGCAACACTATCTATAAAATGTATATCTCGGAATTTTGATATCGGTGACCTAAGGTCAGGTCAATTTTGCGGCCTCTCCATTATAAGTCAATGGGAGAAAATTGAAAAGCGCCTGTTTTGCACGAACGCTATTCTAGACACTCTCAAACATCGAGATGTAGGTAAAATAGACACACTGAACCAGAAAATGGCAGCTGTGACCCCTCGTTATGTCCCCGAGGTCATCTCAGGTCACGAACAGAATCTAACAGTTTTTCGATGATAACTTCTGATAGAGGCGTGCTAGAGCGCTGAAAACGCCTTATATGTGTTTGGCTCGACGTTGCGGATCGACTGATATGCAGCATGACCTTTTCCGGTCAGGTCATGACCTTGACCTGAGGTCAAATTTTCAAGTTGACCTTTCAAGGTCAAATTATAGTTCATTCGACGCGTCTTGACGAGAGGAACACGATGCTGGCAAAAGTAATGTCATAGCTTTTTTGAGTCAAAAGTTATTGCCGAAAAAACGTTTTTCGTAAAAACGGCTATTTTTGGAGTTTTTGCCCTCTGGAGGCTAAACCGTTGACCTGAGGTCAAATCTGAGAACATTATTCAGAAAGGTCTGTAAAAGGGCTATCGAATGCGCTTTTCCGCGGCGCTGTAGCTCTATCGGTTCCCGAGATAGCCGTTGGCAGTTTCCAAAATGTTGAAATAGTCAACATTTTACCTTTGGTGACCTCTGGTGACCTGACCTTTGACCTGACCCAAAAAATGACCGAAGTGTTTTCGTCCTTATTTTTGACGTTCTTTCGATTGCCGCTTACCGCGTGTCGCTACGTGGCCCAGGAGCCGAGTTAGATGGGGGGGGGGGTGTTCAAACACCCCCCGCGGCCCGGCGCGGAATTTCAGAGCACCGGCCCGGCGCGGGTTAAGTGTTTGTGGAAAAGCAATTGGTTTTCTCATAATACCGATGGTGGCAGTTGCTGTTATTTACGTGCTAAGCCGTTCGCCTTTATTAAATCTGACAATATTATTCAGACAGCTCGGTAAACGAGCTGATTGTTGTGTTAGGTTAGGCTCGGTCGATTTCAGAGTGGGAAGGATGACAGGAATTTAGGGGAGACTACAGGACTCTCGCCCAGGGGGCCTGGGCGAGAGTCCTGGACCTCATGCTCCGCTGGGGCCGAGCCCATCACGTGGGTTGGATTGCCCTGACACATGGATAGCCCTGGGCGGTGTTTCCCGGCCCTGCGTTGCAGCACGCTGCGCTGCGCTGCTGCATTGTTGCGGCGGTTGATATGAATTCGGCTCCACGCTAGCGTTGCGAGCTCCCGAGTCTGTTGATTTTTCCATGGAAACTGGAAACCCATTGCACCGGCGCGCGCAACGCACCCTGTCCAAGCAAAATTTTACCACCGATGACCTCTGATGACATGACCTCTGGCTCTGACCCGATCTAAAATTGGCTGAAGTATATTTCTTCTTTTTGCTACTTTTGACGCTACTTCGAATGCCACTTAAATGCCCAAAGCTGAGTTATAAGAATGATGCTCAATCCCCATTTTCCCTCCAACAGGGCGTGCATAGGCATTCCTGTGGGGCACGGGTTAACAATGACTTTCTCATAATAATTGTGGCCATGAACATCTACTGCTATTCTTCAACACCGGTTTCGCTGCGCTGAGCGGCGGCCGTCCCGTTTGTTGGATTCTACAGAGCATGGCTGGCGGAAAGCGTTACCGGCCGCCCGTCCACCGCCCGCGGGCCGGACCGAGCGGTCCCGCTGACCCTATCTGACCTGAGCCCGGCGCGATATGGGACAGGCAGACGGGGGTTCGGCTCAGCGAAGGCAGCGCCCACTGGTGCCGGGGACTTTTTTAATAGACCTACTGTACATTCTGAGACTTGGGCCGGACTGATGGACGCAGCCCATACCTGGGGGAGGGGAGAATAGTCAGCACGGGGGAGCAGCGAGTATAGGACATGGGCAAAGTGGACCGCTCATAACAGACATGATCAGGACATGAAAGGAGCAATAGGAAATATGGCGTTTGGGGAATGCGACACAAATGACGATCCAAGCTGCAGCGCTACAATTAAGCTTCAACAGCCGTCATAATGTGAGTGCTGCCATCTTATGGGCGGACGGTAAGCAGTTTCTCGTCCATACAGTGCGCACTTTTCTCTAATCTGCCTAACTACGGCCGGTCAGACCCTCCCCTGCTTAACTGTTGCCGCTCTGGCTTTTCCCTGGCTGCTCTGGACATTACCTACTAAACTGAGACTGCTCTGGCTCTCTCCACTGACTGTTCTATTTCTAACCTGCTGAACTGTGGCTGCTCCCGGCGCACCGGCTGTCGGCACACCTCCCGCTCGGTGCGGCCCGAGAAGCGCACCCGCGAGTGACGAGAGAACAGAGAGCCGCCCAGCACCATCCGGGGCGCGCTGCGGGACGACTCACACCTGGCGGCAGGGGTCAGACTGGTCAGGTCACATGCCAGGATTGACCAGGGACGAGTCACACATGGCACCAGGGATCTCAGCTCAGGTCAGTGGTCAAGAACTCTATTTGCAGCTCAAGTCAAAGGTCAGGTCAGATCAGGTCTCATGTCAGGCCGTGGGGCTGGAAATAGAGGGCATTCATTATGGTCCGCTGTCGATGCACGGGAATGTCGTAAGATTCATGGTACGCATAGAAAGATAGACTTCGAAGGATTGAATTAAGGATAACAGGAGCCATAGAAAATTTTGGACGATCTGAACATCACACTAATCTTATTGTGGAAACACATCCCATACCAGGAAACTGCGAATAATGGACATACCCGTTGAAACTCGACGTTTCACATAACGCCCGAACGTGAAGGGTAAACTCCTAAGATTCCGAGTACAGCCGGGTCAGAGTCCGTCCAAATACTTTATTTACACTTGATCCTAGCATTACAGCTATGATTAACATTTTCACCGGCGGCAACGGTCCTTAATTTGGGCAGAGCGACCCACGCCGGGCCAAGGCCAGCCCCCACCAATATTTGCCCCGGCCGGCTGTGGCCATTTCCTGACTAATATGGCGCCGGTGCCCGGCCGGCGACCGTCCCGGGACACTCAGTCAATACCAATTACCGGGCGCTGCTCCCGGCCGCCTGGCCAAGTGACCATGGTGGGCAGAGCAGACGGCACAGGACGGGACGAGATGATAAAACGTGACGGAAAAGGACGGACAAGGACGAAAAAGGACAGGACGATATAGCTTGATTGAGACGGTAAGGCACAGGAGGGATTGAAAGGGATCAGAAATAAGGAATATCAGGATGGTATGGTAATGGACGGGAAGGGACGGGATTGTATCCGACGGTGCGGGAGGGGACAAACGGGCGACGAGCTTTAGGACCAGGCCCGTGGTCACAGCACTCAGAAGATACGAGACCAAGAGCGAAGCGAGCGAAGTTACCACACTGAACACACGTCGACTCCCATCCGTGGATCGGTGCAGCCCGTCCCCATACTCACGTGAAGAACAGTCGATGCTCGGTGGCATCTCGCCAAAAGTGTCGGCACCTCTGCACCGAGTCGCTTTTGTAGCCGACTGTGCGTTTGGTCTGTGGCGGCGGACGGCACGGACCGGCGGTTAGGCACGGGGCACGGCGGGCGTCCAGAGGTTAGAGGTGCACACACAGACCAAGCTCGGGCCGGTGAGAGATAAAACCACACACGACACGCCCACATGCAGGCTGCTCGTTACACTCGTTATGACCACACTCTATAGACACGCATTATAACTGATCGAGCTCTACAATCCCAGTACCATCACGCAGCGTGCGCCTAAATGCAAAAAATACAGCATCTCGCAGCTATAGAACACCAGAATACAAACACCACTAAGTTAATTCACCCCACGGCAAGCAAAAAACAGACCGACCTCCTAGCCTATCACACACGCATACACCAGCTGGCTTCAGCAAACACTAATCACAAATCCACCGCAAAACAAACTATCCCAAACGACGTCCGCACATACCTTATTTCTCGAATCTTCCACGAAAACCAGGTGCACGATGAACATTTTGTTCTCGAAGTTGAGTTTCTGAACGTCATGCCAGCGGAAGAGGTGGGTGCGACGACCGTCTTGCAGCACGGAGATGCCGCGGAAGTTGAGGCCCAGCATCACTGGCGCTCCGCGCTGGTCCTGCCGGCAGACGGGGGATGAGAGAGTTGGTAAAGGGGAATTACAATGTGGAGTTGGCTAACAGTCACAGTGAGGCGTCACGGTCATGAGCGTAAGTTCTTTTTTAAGAAATCGCGCTACTCAATTTGGTCAACGTAACTACGTGAGCAAATATAAATTTGGCTTGTAAGAAAATCACACGAACTCGAATTTATTACAAATTTTGTGATGATAAAATGAGACTAACAAAAGTCATTGCGTCTCATTTTGCATGCACTTTCGTACAATAATGCTTCAATCAATTTGCGGTGTGTATCGATACCTATGAAGACACCGTTAAAAAGTGAATACCAGTAGTTAGGCGGCGGTAAATTTTTAATGTAAATATTGCAATGATTTTACGCTCATCATGATTTTTCGAGGAAACCTGCCATTAAATTGGTATGAGGCAGCTCTGACACAGAATCGATAAACGTCCGCCCACCCAATCAAGCCCACACATCTCGGGGGACTGGCGAAAATGACGGTCATCCAACTGATGAGCTCGCTCTAAATTCGCCAAATCGACAGCGCTACCGGCGGCACGCAATAGCGACATCGCTGCGGCCGGCATCGCACGAGAACGGCGCTGGCGACGGGATCCTCCAGAGGCCGGCAGAATGGGGAACGTACCAACAAACGTGAAACGGAAACGGACTTGGAATATCCAATTAAACATGTAAATGGCCATAACAGTACATAACACATAAATTAGTAACAAAAGAGGCATGAACATTAAACAGGTACCGCCCGATACTGGCCCTAACCATTTTCTTTAACCATTCTTTAACCATTTTTTTAACCATTTTCTTTAACCATTCCACAAGATCCACCACGATCACCAGGCCGTCTACTAATCTCTCCTCCTGAACCTCCACCGTTCCTCAGCCTAGACGACAGGTATAACTATAGTTCGTTTTTTTCAATATGAAATAATATTTTCGGAGTTTCTTGAGTGATATATATTGAAAAATTGATAGCAAATATTTCGATACTCGTAGTGGTACGGGGACCCGCAGTTGCTACTGTACACGAACCCCAAGTCTAGCCGTCTGTCCTGTCCAGTAACAACCGATAACATTGATATCGACTGCTGGTCCCTGTACAAGAGCAGCTGAGGTTTTCTGTGCGTGCCCTCTGACAGCTTATCGTTGTTCCCTGTGAGGGTGCTGGGACAATTTACTCAGGGTCGCTGTACAGTAGCAACTGCGGGTCCCTGTACCTTTTTCAATGCGAGTGATGCACAGTGCGAGCTTTGTTAAGCACAACAAAATAACACAATTCCCATGCAATCGGTGGAGCTGGGTCCTCCAGTGCAGATAAAATAACCTATACGATACCGCCTTCCTAAGAACTTATACAATATCACTGTCTATCACGGAATTTTAATTAAATATTTAGACAATCAGCGCTAATTTAATAAAAAGAGCGTCACTTCAGTTACAGGTAAGTCACACTTACACAAGGTGACCCCCCCCCCCCTCGCGTGTTCGTTCAGCGTGCCAACCACTATTTTTTTTAGCACAATGTCCCATATTGGGCTCAGCTGGACGCCACCGCTGTCGAGATTCATTGACGGGCGCAGCTGTCGGATCTCGATGGCCTCCCTGATTTTACGTTTTTTCCAGTGGCGTTCGATGGCTAGGGTTCTCGCCTCGAACGGGTTCAAGTCACCGCCACAGGTACAAAAGTGTCTGGCCGTCGCTGACGTATCGCAGCGTCCGTGCTTGATATCGGCGGTGTGCTCCTTCAATCTGTCCTGGCGACCAAAACAGGACAGATTGAAGGAGCACACCGCCGATATCAAGCACGGACGCTGCGATACGTCAGCGACGGCCAGACACTTTTGTACCTGTGGCGGTGACTTGAACCCGTTCGAGGCGAGAACCCTAGCCATCGAACGCCACTGGAAAAAACGTAAAATCAGGGAGGCCATCGAGATCCGACAGCTGCGCCCGTCAATGAATCTCGACAGCGGTGGCGTCCAGCTGAGCCCAATATGGGACATTGTGCTAAAAAAATAGTGGTTGGCACGCTGAACGAACACGCGAGGGGGGGGGGGGTCACCTTGTGTAAGTGTGACTTACCTGTAACTGAAGTGACGCTCTTTTTATTAAATTAGCGCTGATTGTCTAAATATTTAATTAAAATTCCGTGATAGACAGTGATATTGTATAAGTTCTTAGGAAGGCGGTATCGTATAGGTTATTTTATCTGCACTGGAGGACCCAGCTCCACCGATTGCATGGGAATTGTGTTATTTTGTTGTGCTTAACAAAGCTCGCACTGTGCATCACTCGCATTGAAAAAGGTACCACCAAGGCCATATATAGTAGGTAGCGACACTGAGCGATTTGTTTACAGCCAGTTTCGATCCCGATGACGCAAATGTGTCGTCACGAGACAAAACAATATGGCCACCTCTAATGAGAACCAAGTGCGATAAGTTCCCGGATGTAGACAGCACTGACGTCACCGGGATCGAAACCGACGAAATCAGTACTGGACCTATGGCGAAGCAAAGTAGTGACATCCCCCTGGGTACCACTACGAGTATCGAAATATTTGCTATCAATTTTTCAATATATATCACTCAAGAAACTCCGAAAATATTATTTCATATTCATTATAACTTGAGGAAAAGGTAACATGACTCTTAAGTCATACATTTCGTTTTTTTCAAAAGGACGCTGGCTCCAAGTATGTTTTTCGAACAAGCACGTGTTTTAGCCGCCAAAACGAGCAAAAACTGAACCTGAGAAAATCGAACGTCGACTAATTTTAACATGTGATTTCTTCCCGATAATTACCGTGTGCGTTTTGGAACCAGATATGGGAACAGTGGTGACGTCATGCTGTCGAACATGTATTGCAATGTAACGTATAACTATCATGGACGGAACCGCTTACTCGATTATGCTCGGCAACAGTGAAAAACTAAGTTTCACCCAAATTTGTTGACACTTGTCCCATTGCACGGACATTTGGGTGCCTGCTGCCACCAGTGACGTCATCATAGAATGTTCATTTTTAAGAAACAATTTCCAGCTACTTACCGTGCACAATTTGAAATCGATTATTTTTTCGGTAAGAAATTCTTGGCCAGACACTGAAGCTGCCAAAACTCACGCGAGAGCTTCGATATTGCACTTTGAGCCAGCGTCCTTTAAAAAAAAAAACGAACTTATAATGTGATGATGGCCGCTCCCTAGCCTAAGACCAACGGCGCCTCTTCCGCGGTGAGTCCCTGCCACTCCCCCTCACCTTGAACGCCTGCGGCCGCAGTCCGTACGTGTCCAGCTGGGCGGCCCGTTTGAGTAGCGTCATCTCGGCCTGTCCGGGGTCGAGTCCGCGCGTCTGCCGACTGTGCAGCTCCATGGTGCGCTCTTCCAGCCGGCTACTGGCGCGCCAGACCAGGCTGTAGTCGGACGCGTACCGGCCGCGCTGCTCCTCCGGGTCGTGGTCGCCCGTCTCCACTGGGGGCAGAGAGTGGAACGAGTCAGACGGGGCGGGGAAGACGGCAGGGGGAATTAGTCAAAGGAATGGCAGGAGAGGCTAAGAGATGGTAAAAGAGTTTGTCAGAAGGACCGGCAGAGGTGATGGAGGCACCTACTGAGGAGGACAGGCAGGTGGGGGAATGTAAAGTAAAAACTGCAGACACTGAACAACCAGCCATTAAATGCTGAAATCGCTTGGAAGAATACTAACGAGAACCGACCATCGCACGACACACACCCGCTGAGCGGCGCCGACTGACCTTGGAGTACGAGAGCGGCCAGCAGGGCGGCCTCCTCCTCTGGCGGCGAGAGTCGGCCGGCGCGCAGGTCACGGCGGAGCTGCAGGTACACCTGGTAGCGCGTGAGCTCCTCCTGTAGCCGCTCCGGCCAGCCCGGATAGAACTTCACCCGGAAACTGAACACCATCGGCCACATGTCTGCGGACCGCGGAGAGGTGACCGTTAAACGGGGCCGCAAGCTGCACACTGATATACAGCAGAGTATACAGACAACGCAGAAAATCCTGAGTTCTGTATCCCTCTACCAAATCGATATACGTAGCTCTTGACGCTAAGCAGGTAAATAACACTACATATGCTTTCGATTTCGTACGACGCTGGACAGTATCTTTGATGTAAAATGGCCCGAATAAGTCTAGTGCTGTGTTTGTAGAAGGCGGGAGTCGGCTGAAGTCTGTGGTCACTTGTTTGACCCATTATTTGCCCTTGAGGTTTGATGCGCATTTTTATGCAGATCACACATTGGTGAACGATACTTTTAGTACTATATAATATGCTTTTATATAGGTAATACTTTTATACTCGTATACGATCATAAGAGCATCTACAGCCTCTAATACCTACACTATAAATATATTACCAGTATAGCGCCTTTTGGGGCGACTAACGGAGCGAGCGAGCGGGTGAGTCTTGCACGTGCGAAATTTCGAGGGGGTACCTCCAACTGACTTGTGCAGGGCACCCTACTGACTGGTCTCTAGCGATGTGCCAAATTTGGGCACAATCGGCCCAGCCGTTCTCGAGATCTGGAAGCGGCACCCTGCACGTGCGCACGTGCAAAATGGGTCCCAACTGACTTGTGCACGGCACCCTAGTAACCGGTCCCTAACTGTGTACCAAATTTGAGCGCAATCGGTCGAGCCGTTCTCGAGATCTGGAAACGACCCCTGCACGTGCGCACGTGCAGCGGCACCCCAACTCTGGCACATGGATATGCAGTGCCTAGTGGGTGCCTACCTACATGCCAACTTTCAGCGCAATCGGCCAAGTAGTTACCGAAATATTGCAACAATTACAAAAGTGACACCTCTTCGTTTTGCACGTGGCACGTGCATAAGGGGTCACCCACATGCATCGGGAATAGTCCAATACTTGGTAGAAGGAATGAAGCTACCCTACAAAAATTACCGCATGTAAATCGGTCAAGTGGTTGCTGAGATATAAGCCTCGCAAAAGCGTCCGCACGGCCGGCCGGCCGGCCGGCCGGCCGGCCGGCCGGCCGCTCATACTCAGAAATTTCCGTTATTCTACGTAAGACTCCGCTCGCTTCGCTCGCTCCGTAACAAGCTACACAGGGCATGACAATTCATGTTTCAGCTGATACCAAAACTAATAATTTTTATCCTTTCTCTATTTACCAAATGTGAGCATTTTGAGCTGCACTATTTCAACATTTATAGCTCAGATATAAAAATAAAATAGATCACACTCACCCTTCACTTGCTTCAGGATCTGTTTTGTGGGATCGAGCCATTGCTGGAAATGATGACCACATTCATCAATGGATTGTCTTATCAATCAATGCTGGAGATCATATTTGAGGGCTCAGCCTGAGGTGTCAATCATAGCCAACTAAGCAGAAAATAAAAATTGTAGCAATAACAAATGATGGCAATAGCTGATCTGAGATTGGATCTTTTGCACATGTAGGTTTATCTCTTTGTATGCTTAGCTCTTTTATGTTATCCCATATGACAAACCTAAAACCTAAAAGATACATCCAAGAAAAGGGGAAGTTTTTCTTTAATGGGAGCAGCCATGTTAAAAAGGCGACTGCCTTACCTTTGTTTTGTTGCAGTCCTCAAAACTGAGACAAAAATACTCCTTTTCCACTAGGTCAAGGTGTGCACACACTTGGTCGATCAGGTACTGTCCATTCTCCTTCCCCTGAAAAGATCAAACTTATGAAATTATACACTTCTACCAATCAAGAAAGCTTCATACATGATACCACATATTATGCTGATTTGTTAGGCAGCAATCAGCTATGATACATCATCAAGAATACAAGTTCTAAGGTAGAAGAAAAATGGAAACATTATGCTATACTCACCAAAAATTCACACTGCAGTATCTCAGAATCATCAAGCAGTCTTACTGTGCATTTATATGCATACTTTTTTGTTTTGGATGAAACAAATGGCATGGCTTTTGAGAAGCAAATGTTTCCTGAGAGTTAAGTGCAGCTTGTGATCACTGATCAGCAAAATCCAGGGCAGAAATTCCAGAGATTTGATATCTTGAAGCCAAGAAGACTAGATGAACCTGCAACGAAAAAGGAAATTAGTTGATAAGTGTAAAAAGAGAATGAAGTCTAGACCTAGGGTTTGGAGTGTATCATGAACAAGTAGCTACAAAGCAGGCATTACAAGTTAATGTAGCGCCTACTTGTGAGTGAACTTAATGCTAATAATCAGTTTTGAAATATGAGGGGCCACCACATGTCACATTGTGCTGATACACTCAGCTCCTCTGAACTTAATAATGGGTAGGTGTTTTTTGGCCATTGGCAGCTACCTTGGGCATCAAACAAGCTCTCAGCATGTTATTTCAGAGCTCAGCCTGAGGTGTATCTTTAAAACCCATAGAACAGAAGACATTATCTCTGTGATATCAACTAGAATACTGAGTGAAAATAACCAATTTCCTCAAGCTGTTTGTTTATCTAAGGCTGTTTTACAGCACCCTTAATAGTGGCTTTAATTGTTATAAGTGCTTGCAGTTTCCATTCCATGAAAGCATCAATGGACTGGGATAGTCATAAGTCAAGTCACCTGCAGACAAATGGTTCACCTCACCAGAAAAAATAGAAGGCAGCAGCATTAGCAGACAAACACTGTTTCATGCCTCAGGGAATGAAGTACAGTTGTGAATGACTCTACATAAAACTTGAACATGGCACATGACCACATGATCAGTCATTGGTTCTCTGTTCAAAGCACAGCACAAGCATATTTAAGCTTGCGTTAGATGAGAGCTGTTAATGTTAAAAAGCTTCAGCCATGCACTATGTCATATTTTGGCAACACATGATCTAAGCGCATAATGAACCAGTAGAGTACGAGTAGGTACCATGAAACAATGTCTATGCATTGCATTCCTACGACAATGAGCATTGAGCTGAGAAGACAGCAGCACAATGCATTCTACTGGTCAGCTGAAACCAGTCATAACACATAATACAAACTGGAAAAATTCCTGTAACTGTCAAAACGTCCCACAGAATTGTAGTATTGCGCCAAAAATTCAGTGCACCATCTGCCCCGACTCAGTGCGCCAAGATGAATGAGCAAATTTTGGAGCAAGTGGACAATTTTAGAAATTTTGGCACAAGGTGACAAGATCTAACCTTAGTTGACTTTGATCACTTCATGCTACATTTGAAAAGAGTGCCCACCTATCCCTGGGTTGACATTTGTGACAGCCTGGACCCTCGGGCAATTAGAGTTGAGGTTTGACACAAATAAGCCTGAACTTTCAGCTCATGTTGTGTAAAGATTTCAGCGCAAAATTGCACTGAATTTCAGCATATAAGAGCCCCCAAGGCATCTGGCATAGTGTGTTTTTTTCCCAGTCTGGCACAAGATCACTTTCTGTCTCTGATTTGTCGGGCAGTGGGTGAATGCGGTGAGATACCTAACCCACTTAGGGTCTTACATGGACATTCTTTGCAGTTGGTGTAAATTCATGATAGCTTCTGCAATCTGGTGAAATGCCCATATGTTAGCGCGACCCACATAACTGAAATTCAATTTGCAATCAAGTAATGTTAATTTTTTCTCTTTCAATTCATTCTAGCCATAAACCAACATTTTACAGTTACTATTGAACATTTACTGTCTGCGTTTCAATGAGTTACAGAAGTGATAAGAAAATCACAAATGAAAATGAGTTGAAACTTGAAAGAACTGAATCACCAAAAATGATCACAAAGTAGGTTGAAGTTGAGGCATAATGATAAGCCAGTTGCAAGGGCCAGTATAGCCACGCCCCTCATATTCACAATCGGCCTCAACCAGGCACCCTGCTCCTAACTGAGAAAGAAAAGTAATTTGAGGAAAAGCTTTGTACAGTGTTTGGCATGTAGCCGGTTGATTTAGTTCAGCAAAAATAAAAATTACCCGTCCCACCTCAATATCCTATGGTCCCCCTCGGCCGCGCGGCGACATAAGTAAACAACATTCGCGCCAGATTTGAAACTTCTTCGCCAGGCATCATATCGTTCCAATACCGAAGCTCTTTCTTATGACGTCACGAGATTTCACTGCAATTGACGAATCCCTGCGTCAGGTTCGTGGATTCCGAATTCTTGACAAAATGGAATTCCTCCTATCTATTTTCATCTTGGGATTCGTAAGCTAAGCTAAGGCGCAATTATCTGATAAAAGAATGATCTCTTATGTATCGCATGAAAAACCGTGGGGTAAAGGATGGGATGGGATTGGATTGGGATACCCCGCCCGGTCCTTTCGCGCACCGTTGACGTTTCATAATTCATAGATCTCAGGCAGCTTTTGCCAAATTGTCATGGAACTCAGATTTGTTTTTCAAAAGAAAAACACAATTCAAAAATCAGAGTCTCTAGGGTGGGAATCTTAACCATTCTCGAGATAGAGAGCCCTCTAAAGCTTTCCGGATGGCCCGGTCATGGGTGGTAAGAACTTAGGAGGGTTCTATCTCGAGAACGGTAAAGATTCCCACGCTAGATAGAGATACCATATTTTTCGGAATCAGCAAGCTAAGAAGGCTCTGTGAGCAAATTTTCAGCCAAAGCGGGATGGCCCGGTCATGGATGCCGAAAACTTAAGAGGGTTCTATCTCGAGAACAGTAAGGATTCCCACCGTAGAGACCATGATTTTCGGAATCAGCGTGCTGTGAAAGCTCTGTGAGCAAATTTTCAGCCAAATCGGGATGGCCCGTTCATGGATGGGAATTTTTTTTTATAGGGTTCTTTCTCGAGAGTAGACGGTTAAGATTCCCACCCTACCCTAGAGACCATGAATCAGCATTTTCGGAATCAGCATGCTGAGAAGGTTCTGTTAGCAATTTTTCAGCCAAATCGGGATGGCCCGGTCATTGGTGACAAAAACTTTAGAGGGTTCTGTTCTATCCCAAGAACAGTAAAAATTCCCACCCCAGAGACCATGATTTTCGGAATCAGCGTGCTGAGAAGGCTAAGTGAGCAAATTTTCAGCTAAATCGAGATGGCCCGGTCATGGGTGGTAATTTTTTATAGGGTTCTTTCTCGAGGCGGTTAAGATTCCCACCCTAGAGACCATGATTTTCGGAATCAGCATGCTGAGAAGGTTCTGTGAGCAATTTTTCAGCGAAATCGGGATGGCCCGGTCATGGGTGACAAAAACTTTAGAGGGTTCTATCCAGGGCTGCGGAGTCGGAGTCGGAGTCGGAGTCGGTCGGAGTCGACAGTTGTGACCGGAGTCGGAGTCGGAGTCGACTTTAGAAACCCGAGCCGGAGTCGGAGTCGGAGTCACCGAAAATCTGTCGACTCCGCAGCCCTGCTAGGTCTGCGGAGTCGGAGTCGGTGCTGGTTTTTGAAAGCCGGAGTCGGAGTCGGAGTCGGAGTCGGAGTCGGAGTCGCCGAAAATCCATCGACTCCGCAGCCCTGGTTCTATCCCAAGAACAGTAAAGATTCCCACCTTAGAGACCATGATTTTCGGAATCAGGGTACTGAGAAGATTCTGTGAGCAGATTTTCAGCCAAATCGGAATGGCCCAGTCATGGAAAGTAAGAACTTTAAAGGTTTCTATCTCGAGAACTGAAAAGATTCCCATCCTGGAGACCACGATTTTCGGAATCAGGGTACTGAGAAGGTTCTGTGAGCAAATTTTCATCCAAATCGGGATGGCCCGGTCATGGGTGGCTTAAACTTAAGAGGGTTCTATCTTGAGAACGGTAACAATTCCCACCCTAGAGACCATTATTTTCGGAACCAGCGTGCTGAGAAGGCTCTGTGAGCAAATTTTCAACCAAATCGGGGGCCCGCGGGTCATGGGTGCCGAAAACTTTAGAGGATTCTATCTCGAGAACGGTAAAGATTCCCACCCTAGAGACCATGATTTTCGGAACCGGCGTGCTGGGAAGGCTCTGTGAGCAAATTTTCAGCCAAATCGCGATGGCCCGGTCATGGGTGCCGAAAACTTTAGAGGGATCTCGAGAATGGTAAAGATTCTCACCCTAGAGACCATGATTTTTGGAACCAGCGTGCTGAGAAGGCTCTGTGAGCAAATTTTTAGCCAAATCGGGATGGCCCGTTTCTCGCTGCTCGCTGCTAGTTTGACAGACGTATTAGAGTGTTTTAACCACTGAACTCTATAATAGTTTTAATTATTGACTACAAACCTTCGGTTATCGTCTTTGGTGAAACGAGAACTCCTTCGAAACTCCTACTCCGCTTTAGCAAGCAAGTAGCTTGGTCCACACAGACTGACGCGACCAGGGCATGGACTGTAAGAATCTTGGGCATGGACGCGAT